TTCAAGAACAGATCCAAAAAGACAAAAAAAATTTAAAACTATATTTGCTAGATTTAGGAATGAACGTGATTAAACTAACATTTAATTTAATCAACACGTTAAACAGTTCTTAACAAATACAAAGTCGGCTCTGATACCACTGTTGGGAATTTACTTAAACATGCACAGCGGAATTTAACAAGTTTCAATTCCCATTCAGGATTTAGCTTTGTATTTAGATAAAAATTGTGATAAGAAATATACCTTTACTTGTAATTTGCAAACTCTTTCGCATTATTCCTTTCCAGCAGCTTGAATCTGCCTCCCACAGCTGTCCAATTGTCCAGCCTCCAATGTAATCCACACAGAGAGTAGACAGCAACTGCTAGGGTTTCTTTCTTGTGCCAGCAAGAATAATGAAAACATTATTGGACCTCAAACCCTAGCTGCATATATATATAAACCCAAACGGACCCGGCCCGGTCTGGTCCAATATTTAATTAATTCAATTAATTAAACCCGATCCGTGAATTAATTAATCCAATTAATTGATTCGGGATTATAAATAACAAATTCAATTAATTAATTTATTCAACGATTGTTAAATTAATCAATTGACAATTTGCAGTCTTCAAATTCTCTTTTGTGTGCGACCCATTAGGTTCCCGACCACAATGTCTGACGTCGTGAAATATTATTTTGATCTAATCAAAATTGATAAATTAATACACCCTTTTAATTTATCGTCAATTCACATTCGCCGTCCTTGATTGACATCTAGCAATGTGTCAGGGCAATACATGTGACCGGAAATGTCACGTGGTATGACAAAACCAAATTCGTTCGTTTACTGTGGAACTATTATCCTTTCGTCAATACGATCCGATCAATTACGAGATATGAAATTGTGTCAATCTCGATCATTGATCATATCTTTCACTCCACTATTAAGTCAATATAAATCGAAAACTCCTTTTCGACTTATGAGTACACCTTGGCCAAGGATTTCATCATCGACTTAATTGAATGAAATGCAGATCATAATTTCCTACTATCTAAGAGTGACGAATCCTTTATTGATCAATCACAACCTTCATACGATTCTTGACGTACCCGAACGATGTCGTATTAGCGGCCCCTTTCAGAGCAACATCCAACACCGCCAAAGTATGACTGTCCTCATATAAGGTATCAGGACGACCTCAAGTCAAAGGACCAATTCCACTACCGAACGTTAGAGATTAGCCACTGACACTCAGATAGTTATCCATGTGGAATCTCTTAGCGGGTCTCCAATGTTTTGTTCTATAACAAAACATCCACGTCTTCATTTAAGTGTCACCACACTTTAACTCGTGAGATCAGCTACTTACTTCACAAGTAAGAAATGCCACACATGATGGTCTAACTGTATTAACGATATCCATATCTCGTTATTACGCGTTTACAACCTAAATCGATTGGATCTAGGGCATAACACTTACATTATATACAATATCCACAGCAGCTTCATCACTGAGATGTTCCCAGAGGCCATCTGAGGCAAAGATTAAGAACAAATCTTGTGGCCTGAGCTTCCGAGTTACAATTGAGGGTTCAGCTGTTAATAGTGGTCTCTTCAAAGGAACAGGATTTCCGAATTGTAAGAAAAGGGGGTCTCTGTTGAAGTCGGGTTTTTTCAGATAGACATCGCCAATAGATCTTGATACCTGGAAATTATAAACTTACAATTTAGCATCTTAAATGAGATTTTGACTGGAAATAGATAAACAAAAAGAGATGATCACAAAGAAACAATTAAATAACAGATACACACTCCATTCTACCGACACCATGCTTGCCTCTAAATCTAAACAAACTAGATCCTAAAAGTTGTATGAGCATCATGAAAATTTATAGCCATATGGACAAAAACGGAGACAAATGACTAAAATTTCACCAGAATCACAACACTTTGCCTTACGAGATCTTCAAGGACATCTCATGGGCAGAAAGCTTCATGAGAAAATGGGAAGAGAGGCAGAGCATGTGATCCTAGATGTGCAGAGATGATATAGCCCATCAGAAAACAAATATACGTGAATGAAGTAACATAACCGATTGAAATAAGTAACTTTATTTTTGCACAGTGCCATGTTGAAAAGATTTTATTATTTGGTGAAAAGTGAAAGCATCTATTGTAACTCATTTGGTTAGAGCTTTCACATACAAATTGAAGGTCCAGTGTTCGAATCCCTTTCAAACCAATGATATTATGTGTTTCGTTTAATTTAGTTTAATGTTCTATGTTTACGTGACGTTATGTTTATTTAATTTGGGGTGTTACACATTACCAATAGTAAGCTCTGATTGCTAATATCCATGGATACTCACTAGAAATTATTGGTAAGATCTTTTCTGCCTTCATAACCGATACGAGTCAAGGTAAAGGCTTAACTCGTACAGCAAAAAATCGAAACTTATCCTCCCCAGGCCTCTGAAAATCTACTTCCTTTTCGAAACATCAAATGGTTGCGTGATTGCTTCCCAATCAGTTCATTCCTAGAACAACGTCAAAGTCTTTCATGTCTAGGAGGTATAGATCAGTTATAAATTCTTTTCCTTCCATTACTAATTTGACTGGCCTAGCGATCTGATTGGTATTCAAAATTCTACCGGATAGAATGAAAATTTCTAGAACACTATTAGATTTTTCACATGCAGTACATGATTTAACAATAAATGCGGTGAAGATAAATGAATGAGTAGCTCCGGAGTCTATAAGAACATATGCAGGTAGTTCAGATATTGATAGAATACCTGTCATTACATTCGGATCCTCTGCTACCTCTTCCTGGGTGAAAGCAAAAACTTCGACTTTCACTTTCTTGCCTTGTTCGTTATCCTCCTTAGGTGGGTATGCCTTGCAGTCCGGAGCAAAATGGCCTTCCTAGCCACAATGATAGCACACATTTTTCCCAAACAAGCACTCTCCTCCATAAGCCTTGTTGCAATTTGGGCATCGTAAAGTAACTTTATTTAGTTTACTTGATCCTGATCCTAATCCTGTATTGGACTTCTTAAACTATCCAAATCCTTTCCCTTTATTTGATCCATTCTACTTTCATTTTCCATATGATTCATTATTCTTCTCAGTCATCCAATCCATTTCTAGATGATCAGAAATTGACTGCACTCGCCGAAGCACTTCACTATAGGTAGTCATATGGTGAGATGCCATGATTCCTCCAATCTCTGGACACAAGCCTAATTCAAACCTCCTAACCTTCTTTGGCTCGATATCAACAAGGTGTGTAGCATACCTAGAAAGTTGTTCAAATTTCCTTTCATACTCATCAAGCGACATATTTCCTTGTTTCAGCTGTAGGAACTCTGCTTCTCTCCAATCCCTAGGTGATTGGGGAAAGTATTTTGTCATTATTTCTTTTCTTGAACTATGCCCAAGTCATAGCACATTGCTGTGCTTTTGTTCTAGTGCGCGAAGCAAACTCCCACCAGTGGCCTGCTACTTCGATCAACATAAAATCGGCACATGATACCTTCTGTACATCAGTGCATGCCATGTATTTGTAGATTCACTCTAGCCCTCGTAACCACTCCTCGGCTGCCAAAGAGTTTACCTTACCATCAAAAGAAGGAGGTTTAAAACGGTGAAACTGCTCCACAATTGAACTTATGTTGTTAGCATTTGTTGGTCTATTCTGAGGAGCTGGTGCGGGTGCTTGGTTCCTACCAAGGTCATGCACTGCCCTTATCAGATCCCTAAACATAACTGCTTGGTCTTGTTGTCCCACCATTTCCTTTAACAAATTAAATTTTCTCTTAAAAATGTTGGACAACATAGTAACTCAATATGTTTAAAGGAAATTAATTTTTTTTTATTAATAGTATTCCTTGAAATCATGATATATAATAGTTTGACAATTTTATTTTTTATATTTATTTCCAATAGCATAAAGGTAAAGATATCACAGTACTAAGAAAATGGAATCTAAGTTTCTATTCCCTATGAATTCTGTGAATCTTTTTTAATGGAGCTTCATCTTCAGATGAGTCTTCTACCTTAGGCCCAGACTCTACGTCAATCTCAACCAGTGGCTCAAGTTCATGCTCATGATCGTTGCTCCCATTCAGGATCTTCCTCTGGGTCTGATTTTATTTGAGGTTCTGGCTCGGGCTCAACCTCATCACCAAGCTCATTCCTTATCTCCAATTGGGGTTCTAAGTTTTTACTCCGCCTGTCTAGAAGGGTCTGACAATATATACCAAACTCAATCACGTTTGGATGCTCTGGGGGGTTACCTTCTAACATCTCATCCTTAACCACAACTACCATGTCTCCCCATTGAGATGGAAATGAGTGTATGAGATTATTCACAGTCTCAGTATGCGTGATCTCCAGTCCTGCCTCCATAGCTGCCATACATCTTTCATAGATGTCTTGCACGTGTTCGACAAGTGGTTGGGTCAGTCACATAATTCTCATAAGATTGAATGATGGACCTACGGTTTAATACTGCTCTATAAGCTGTGGCCTTTCTAGCGGTCTCATAAGTTCTAATCATGTCTGTCACATAAGGGTCCAATCATATTTATTTTTGCAGTAACATCGACGTATATGTTACGCTCTCATGGCTTTAATAGGATTGTTAATTCATATACCTTCATGTATAATAAAATAATAGCATGCATAACATATTTCATTCTAAACATTATAAGCATTTCTTGAAATCAAGTTTAAATACTTCATAAATCATGCTTGAAGGTAAGCTTAAACATAACATTTCGTTTATACCTTTGGTTCATCAGATGGTAGCTGATTGACAAGCACTAAATGTCATGGGTCTTATTTTAATACTTGATTAAGTTTCAGTTAAAATCACATCACATATAGAACTTAAAATTAAACATGTGAACAACTTTTTTTTTTTTTCACTTATCTACATTCACTAGAACAGAAACTAATATTGTACAATTAAATATTTTGGAAAAGACTTTTACCATTTTAACGATTCACAATGTACAGTGACCGTAATGGCAAGAAATCAATAAAAACTTAAATAAACCATAGTGCTTAATCATTTTTTTTTTTTTTTTTTTAATACAGCTAGCTTGCATTAAAGGTACAATGACTGGACCATAAAAGAAATAAAATGAACAAACAACTTATAGGATGCTCTATTCATTTACACGTGTTTGCTTAAAAACTCAAAGCCCATGGACATTTAACGATAGTAAGATTTTAGAACATTAATTATATAAGAATCATGGGAAGATGAAGTAATTAAACTTTTTCATAAATTGATGGCAGAATTCAACTAATCATGTTTCTCAACCAATTTTATTTATTTATTTATTTTTTAATACACTCAGTCATAAAACCATAGTCTAGATATTGGGGCTACCAAAATTCACTTAACAAAATTTAAAATTACGCATAATGATATAATTTTTTTTTTTCGATCTCCAAAAAGATAAATCTGGGCTATGTATCAAACTATAATGTCCCAAATCCACTAGACATTTATTTTTTTATTTTTTGTTTCTTTTTAAAATATTTGAAGTGTTACCAAAATCTTTCTTTTATAATTTAAGCGGAATTTAACACTAATGTATAAATTTTGGTATTAAATCAATAAGGTAAATTCAACAATTCAAATAAAAATTTGAAGTTTATCTAACTTAAAATATTACGAACTAAACTGTCAATTGAACATGTTAAATAACTTAAATATCAAATCTACTAAGATAATATGCACGAAATTAAACATAAAATAAAGTTATTCTTAAAATAGAAATTGGCAAATAATCTTATAAAAACATAAATGTGTTTTTCAAATGAGATTTCTTTGTAAATTATTATTTCTAGAAATTTTACTTGGTGACCCATGAGCATCACTCGATCAATCCGTCACGCGTTCACACGACCCGTTCTAATTTGAAAATATAGTAAGAGTGGGTATTTTTTTAAAAAGAATACCCAGTAAGAAAAACGTGCATATTCTTTTAATATAAAAATATCCCGTAGGATTTACATACTTGACTAAACGGTCAATCCCGTAGGATTCAACATAAAAATCGACCCAAAGACCTTAACGTATTTCATGCCAAAATTCTATAAAAATACCAAGAATAAAAATTAATCATTTGCACATTTCTTACCTTGATTTGCTACTCAAAAAAAAATAAAAATAAAAATTTAAAAATAAATCTGAAAATGGCTTGTAAATAAAATAATATCTCTTTTAATATGTGTTTTCACGTGTGTATGTAAGGTAGAGATGTCAACGAGTCGAGCCTAGCTGGCTCGGGCTAGGCTCAGGTAAAAATGATTTGAGCTTGTTTTTGGACCCGAGTCATGCCAAGCAAAAGCTCAACCAAAAAAATTAGGCTCGACTCGAGCTTTCGACTCAGGCCTTTCCAAACCGAGCTGGAAGCTCTGCCCAACATCCCAAAATGGGGCTCGACCCGAGTCTTGGCTCGATTCTCCCGAGCCTCGAGCCGAGCGGGCTTGAGCTTTTTCCAAGCCGAGCAACGGGCCGCCCGAGTCGATGAGTTCGATTTCCATCTCTAATGTAAGGGGAAAAAACACCTCTCAATATATATATATATATAGGTGTGAATTCAATAGCCTATTCTTTACATTAATCAATCATGGTGAGTGTGTAAATTATTATTCATTGATGGGAGTTGAAATGATCAATTTTAATATTAATTAAAAGTGGTTGATATCTATGTTTTCAATTCCAAAAACATCCCATCTTCATTTTACCATTTAAAATTTTACTATTTTAACATATATCTGTCATTATATATCTTTTATTAATAAAATATAGGATTAGAATAATTTTCTTTCTATCAAGATAATTCGATTATGGCTAGCTCAAAATTATTTCTTCTTGAGCCAATTTATGTTATTTGGCACGAGCTACAAAATGAGTATAATATCGATGTATTTTATCAACTTTTGAAATATTTAAATATTCGACCCAAATAACTTACGATAATTTCAAAAATATACGTATGCAAAATAAACCATTTATGCAAATAAGTGAGACATGTTTATCACTTCAACGTTTGGTCTTTAGTGTTACGAAAATGTTGGACATGGATTATTTTATTTGCTAAATTATCAACATTAAATTTAGCCTACATGAAATTAAAAATTTAAAATTTGGAGTGTTACATTTATACCATTATTTCTGTAATTAAATAGCATGTTTGGTTGCCATTCGGCTTGTACTAAGTGATGGTGATCCCTCTGCGGATTTGCTGCTGCTCTTAAAGATATGAAGTTGTGGGTTATGAACGTTGTCTCCATAGATGCTCCTGATACTCTACCGATTATTTATGAACGAGGTCTATTTGGAATTTATCATGACTGTTGTGAATCGTATGCAGACCATCTCTTTTCAAAGATTAAAAACAAGTGTGTACATAAGACTCAATTAACTAGATTTGATGCTTAAGTTTATATGCTTTCTTCTAGTTATTTTGAATTCCGGGTCTCAGGTGTAATTTCATGGCCCTGGTTACGGAGGCTGATCGGATTTTGAGGCCCGAAGGAAAGCTTATCGTACAAGACACAGTTGAGATCATTAATAAACTCGAAAGCCTTCTCATTTATACTTGTACATCTCGAAAACCGACCAAAAAAAAAAAAAAAAAAGGATAGACCGTCAAACCTAATACTGGTCAACAGGCTCAAGTCACATTACACACATTACAATTTCTAAGATCTAATGAGAAAATTGCTTAATTTTAATACTAAAAATAGTTTATATCATAAGATTGTAAGATCAAGTCTCATTAATTTAATTTAACTCTCGCTGATATTCGGGCTAACAAAAACCCTTATATCATTTATATTATGTTGAAATTTGAATTATAATCATATCTATTTAGGGATGTCAATTGGGCTCGTTGACTCGGGCCGCCCGTCGCTCGACCCGCGAAAAGCCCGAGCCGGCTCGGCTCGAGGCTTGGTAGACCCGAGCCTAAGCTCGGGCCGAGCTCCATGTTGGGGACACGGGCTTTGCCCGAGCCGGCCCGTGAGCTCGCAAGTTTTTAGCAAAAACTGCCTTAAAAAAGGCAGTAGCTTAAATTATATATATATTTAAAAAAAAGAGAGAGAGAAAGATAGAAAAAGGCCTAGTCGTGCCTAAAATTTTTGGGCGAGCTTTTGTTCGCCTCGGGCCCCAAAAAAAGCTCGACAATTTTAATCGAGTCGAGCTCGAGCCGAAACTTTCGACTCGTTGACATCCCTATATCTATCGTAGTATTAGAGGAGTGATCATTATTCACAAGTGACTATTCACAAGTGACGGAAGATACATGACACGCTTAAGTTCCAAAAATATAAAACTGAAAATTTCTCTTATTTTCTTTGTTTTGCCAATCAAGGGAAATTTTTTCATGAAACTAACGACACAAACGGTTAAATATGTAGCTTGTTGGTAAGCAATTTTATCAAGTTCATAGATTGGTTGCACGTTCACCTCTATCTAATTATTTCATTTAAAATTATTTTGTAATAATGTGGAACGAATTCTTATTAACTTCTTATTTAAAAATGAATAAATAAATTAGGATCTTATTTGTCTTTTTTACATGTTCATACGTGACACCTTTTTTAACTACATGTTCAATAGATCAAATCCAATTTGAAGCGATAGAAATGACAATTTATTAGATCATTGATGCGAAAAATAAAATAAAATACAAGCTTCTCAAAACATTTCTTAAAGAAGTTGCTTCGCACGACATTCTATCCATGCTCGTAACATTTGACACGCTGAAAAGCTTATGTAGCCCATGTTTGGTACATAAATTCATAACATTTCTCTAATTTTTAACCATATTTCCATCAAAAAAATATTATTTTAATTTATTATCCAAAAACATATGACGGGTAGCTTATCATATTCTCCTTACTTATATTGAATGTTCTCTTACTTCTAAAAAAGTTACATCAGATTAAAAATTATTGAAAAATATTTTTTATACTTCATCCTTTATAGATTGAAGAGGTGACAATAAATTAAATTAAAATTATCAAAAAAATTCTTCACCACTTGAATGATGTGCTTACGTAATGTGGGTTAATGATAAAAAAAAAGGTGGAAGAACTTTTTCCATTGGCGAAATTTTCGCTCAATCAAATCTCATTATATAATATATTGATAAATAAATTTATAAATTTTGATGCACATATAGTGTAATAAAAAATTATTTATTTACAAGCACTTATAAGTTAAATTAAAATTATCAAAAAATTTCTTCACCACTTAAACAGCATACTTATGTAACGTGGGTTAATGACAAAAAAGGTGGAAGAACATTTTTCCGTTAACGAAATTTTCACTCAATCATATCTCATCATATAATACGTTGATAAATAAATTTATAAATTTTTATGCACATATAATGTAATAAAATATTATTTATTTACGAATACCAATAATTCAAGAGGCCAATAAGGATTAATTCTCCAAACAGACAACAACAAAAAAATCGGCATATACAGTCTTGACCCTATCTAGACCTTGTTTGATATAAGTTGTTTTCAAAATATATTCTCTCTTTTTCTCAATCACATGTTATTCAATAAAATAATATTACATATAAATTTAATTTTTTTCTTATTTTTTAATAATACATTTTTCATCTATTTATTATTTTAAATCTACTATTTTAAAATGCATTCTTGACCAAATGATTGGATCAAACAAGGGCTAATCATTTTGACAGAGACTAGTAGAAGCCTCTCTCTCTCTCATTTTGTGGTTTATCACACTCCAAAGAAACAGAGACTACTCTCTCTCGCGCTCTCTCTCACAAACACAGAATTCGCAACCGCTGTTGCTAAAAATGAGTTGGTGGTGGGCCGGAGCTATTGGCGCTGCAAAGGTAAGTTTATTCATATCAGATATATTCAGCATCTGTATACGGATTGTATGTGCGTCTATTTATGTGTGTGTGGATATGAGTAGTTTCTAGCGGTTAAAACCCTTGTATGATTTGATCTTGAAACAGAAAAAATTCGAAGAAGATGAGGCAACGATCAAACATCATAGCGTGGCTCTAGTAATCGGTGTCACCGGCATCGTGGGCAACAGTCTGGCGGAAATCCTCCCGCTCGCCGATACCCCCGGCGGCCCCTGGAAGGTCTACGGCGTTGCCCGCCGTCCCCAGCCGTCTTGGAATGATGACAATCCAATTCAATACATCCGATGCGACATCTCAGATCATGAGGATGCTCAAGCAAAGCTGTCACCGCTAACGGATGTCACACACATCTTCTATGTCACATGGACCAATAGATCCACGGAGGCTGAGAATTGCAAAGCCAATGGCAAAATGTTAAAGAATGTGCTTGATGCAGTTATCACCAATTGTCCTAATTTGAAGCATATTTGTTTGCAAACAGGAAGGAAGCATTACATTGGTTCATTTGAATCCTTTGGAAAGATAAGACCTCACGATCCTCCTTTCCACGAGGATTTGCCACGTTTGGATTGCCCGAATTTTTACTATACTCTTGAGGATATCCTGTTCGAGGAGGTGGAAAAGAAGGAGGGATTGACGTGGTCGATTCATAGGCCAGGGATAATATTTGGATTCTCTCCATTTAGTATGATGAACTTAGTTGCTACCCTATGTGTTTATGCCTCCATATGTAAGCACGAGGGTATGCCATTGAGGTTTCCAGGAAGTAAGGTTGTGTGGGATGGATATTCCGATTGTTCTGATGCAGATTTGATTGCTGAACATCAGATATGGGCGGCAGTGGATCCCTATGCTAGGAATGAAGCGTTCAATATCAGCAATGGGGATGTTTTCAAGTGGAAACATTTCTGGAGGATATTGGCTGAGCAATTCGGGATGGAATATGAAGAGTTTGAGGAGGGGAAGAATCTGACACTGCTGGAGATGATGAAGGATAAAGGGAAGGTCTGGGATGAAATTGTGCGGGAGAATGGATTAACACCTACTAAATTGGAGGATGTCGGGGTTTGGTGGTTTGCCGATACTATGCTTAGCTTGAAATGTTTATTGGATACCATGAACAAGAGCAAGGAGCACGGTTTTCTGGGATTCCGGAATTCTAAGAATTCATTCATTTCATGGATTGACAAGTTGAAAGCCTACAAGATCGTCGCTTAACTTGATCTTCTTCTATGCGTTTTTGTTGTATTTGTTTGCTTCCTCAGTTTGATACTTGTGTTTTCTTGGTGTGTTGTAGCGTGTTTAATGTCTTCCGTTTTGATTTAGATAGCTTCTGCTTATGCTTGTGACAAGTAGAAGAAGAGAAGTAGAAGTCCGGGCTTTTGAGTTAGTGTTTGATAACCAATTTTAAAAGAGCTTTTTTCTTCCGGAAGAGCTTTTACTTGTGTTTGGTATGATCATGCCAAAAGCTATTATGGCATTAAAAATGTCATTTTTACCCTTAATGATGAGAATGTATTACTTTAATTATCATATTAAAATTTTATTAGTAAAGCATAGATATAAATTATATAGTCAAATTAAATAAAAACAACAATTTAAATTGAAGTTAGTGACTTAACAATTAATTTTAATCACATATTTTATGTAATTCATAATTGTTATCAATTTTTTAATTACATATTTATCATTTTCTATCAAAATTTACTAAAATTTTAATTTTAATTACACTAAAAAGGTTGTTTGACAGTTTTTATACAAATTCACCAAAATGAATAGAGCTCGTTTCAAATCTAAAGAAAATTTGGCATAAAATATGTAAATTCTCTTCTACGGCAATAAAAAAAGAGTAGACTGTGAAAGGAAGCTAGAAATGCATTTGTCAACTACTAATGAATTTGTATGAAGAGATTATTATTTTGATAGTTCAATAATGCACCAATTGATCAAGAAAGCAACATTAAAAATAAAACAAAAATAATTAATTACATAAAATATAAATTTAAATGCAACAATTTTAGATTGGAAACAATAAGAAAACAATGTTCATCTAAGCACAATGTCACGGATCGTAAGATCATGACTTAAGGTTTGGCATGACACGGGAATGTCATGGTACAAGGTGGGAAAATAAGATAGACTTATGGCAAATAAGGTCTATGCTTCGGTGATATATGGCGATGAGTGCGTTGCCAAATTCAGTGGGGGAGTGACTTACGCCTCACGCGATCGCATTCGATCCGTCCTGGTAGCTATTGCAAGATAATGCGGGTAACGCGTTTCAGAAGGACGGAACAGCTTGTGATAGGGGACGCAGGCAAATTCGGCAAAGGTCGCAAGTAGATTCGAGCTGGGGACACAAGTAGATTGTTTTGGGGCAGAATGCAGGCTGCCTAGATCGTACAGTTTTCCAGGGCGTTAATAAGGTTTTTCTAAGTCCCGACCCAGTCATTTTGGGAGGTAAAATATATGAACCTACAACCAGATATTTTGAGGATGCAAGTGGGCAACTTGCACAATTTGTCCACTTGTGTGCCACTTGCAAGCTAAGTGCTAGTTGTATGCAAGCTAAGCACGAGTTGGCAAAGATATTATCAACGTGCAAGCTAGGCGCGAGTTGTATGCAAGCTAAGCACGAGTTGGCGACAACTTGCAAGGCAAGTTGTAAGACCATCCACTTGATGACAACTAAGAAGGAGTTGGCGACAACTAAGCACGAGGTGGTAACAACTAAGTACGAGTTGTAAAGTGGAATGTTAAGGAGGTTTAAGTTTGCCTATAAATAGAGATGTAGTCTCATTTGTAAATGGTATGTAGTAGATGGTAGAGAATGTAGAGTGAAGTGAGTTTATTCTTTAGAGAGATTGTAAAGTTTTTCCTTTCATTTATACAAAGAAAGTTTCCCCATCCTTACTTGTTTTCCATATATTACTTACTTCAAAATTCTCTTCTCAACGTGGGTATAATTTAGCCTCATTGGTTAAATTATTTGTAGGCGTGGAAAGACCGACTTAACGTTTTCTCGTGAGGTGCGGGAATTGTAGAACGTTAAGGCCGCACGGTTCTAGTTTGTTCGGGTGTAACGAGGTCCGTGACAAGTGGTATCAGAGCAAGGTTCACGTAGGGTTGAACCAATTTTTCATCTCTGAGGTGAGGTGACGTCCGTGATAAGTTCACGTGATGTGGACTACGGAAGCAGTATCAAGGCGAAGGTTTGGTAGTGGTAACCAAGTGCGGCTGTGGTAGCCAGATTCGTCGGAGATTCTTGGAAGCTGGATTTGGGTGAGGTGCTCAAATGGCGGAATCTCAAAAAACTGTTGATATTGAGATTGAGGAGAGGGGCCGAGGTGCTACCCAAACTGAAGTAAGGAAAACTAGAGGGAAAAGTAAGGTGAGGGAAACCACCCACATGGAAGGGAAACTTGACCAAATCATCTCAAATATGAGTGATCGGGTCGAATCTCTTGAAAACTCATTCGAGGCGTTGGAGGGACACGCCATTGGAAAGATAGAAACTCTACAAGTTAATGTCCAAGAGGTGATGGACACACAAGCATCATTGAAAAATGATGTCCAAACGATGAGAGATGATGTTCGAGCTGTGGTAGCTGGACAAGCCACGGTGATGGATGATTTTGGTCGTCTCCAAACCAAAGTCTTGGATGTCTTTACTGCTATGCAAGGCCAAGTTAACCAATTGGTCGTGATGATGGAAAGAATGAGTAAGGAGCTTGATCAATACAAGCACTCCACTGCCGGTACAAGCGAAGGTGCCGCTTCAACTATTGTTGCCCCGAGGATTGAATACCCGAAGCCTAAACATTATGATGGGCAACGTGATGCCAAAGATGTGGAAAACTTCCTATGGCAAATGGAAGTTTACTTTGAAGGCGTAAATCTTGTTGATGAAGCCATGAAAGTTCGAACTGCTTTTATGTATCTCTCGGATATTGCGGCGTTGTGGTGACGTCGTAAGCATGTCGAAATCGCAAAGGGGGCTTGTAAGGTTGATACTTGGGATGAGTTCAAAAGGGGAATACAGAGGCAATTCTACTCGGAGAATGTCGTCTATGAGGCGCGCAAGAAATTGAGGGAATTGAAACATACGAGAACAATTCGTGACTATGTCAAAGAGTTCACGACCCTTATGCTTCTAATCCTAACCATGCCGGAGGATATGCTATTCTATTTTCTAGATGGTTGTACAACGTGGGTGCGACAAGAGTTACAACGTCGTGATGTTAAAACCGTAGACGAGGCCATTGCAGTAGCCAAATCCTTGACGGAGTTTGAAGAAAATCTTGAGACCGAAGCTAAAACTATTAAACCCGCCAGTAAGCCGGATTGGAGGCCAAATCCCAAAATTGATTACAAACCCGTTGGCAAACCAACTACTTGGAGTAAGTAGTATGAGGACAAGAAGAGGAGTAATTTTACACCTCGAGGTTGCTTTATTTGCAAAGGACCACATCTCATGAGGGATTGTCCTAATTTAGGATCATTGGCATCTATTTCCATTTCGAAGAGCAAACCGAAGGCCATAGATAGCCAAGATGAGGATGAAGTTCAAATGAATTCATTGCAGTTGTTTAATGCTATGAGTGCTGAAAATGTTTTCGTGGGGATGGAAACACAACAACTGTCAGGGATGCAGTTAGCGGAAGTCCTTGAAGATGATAAGGACATTATGCTGGCGGAGTTGCCGAGGGAACTACTGATAAATAAGGAAAGTGAGGAAGCATTATCAAAGAAGTCCGAAATTGGGTGCACAAAGGTTTAAAGCTTCGACAGGTGTGGGTACACTACAATCGGAGGAGTTGTCCATCCGAGGAATCAAGGCAGAGGTGCTGAGAGTGAAGGTTGGTGTCAAAGGTGGCATGCAAGATGTTGCAACGAGAAGAGGTGCAAGGGGCACTGTGGAAACCCGGTCATCAAGGAGATGGTGCCGCAAGTTGGGAGAACTTTGATGCTCATGGACGTGGAAGACAATGCAAGGTTGCATGAGGATGCACCGAACACGTTTCGCTACGAGGACGTTAGCGGATTGAGTAGGGAAGAATGTCACGGATCGCAAGATCATGACTTAAAGCTTGGCATGACACGGGAATGCCATGGCACAAGGTGGGAAAATGAGATAGACTTATGGCAAATAAGGTCTATGCTTCGACGATATATGGTGATGAGTGCGTCGCCAAATTCAGTGGGAGAGTGTCTTACGCCTCACACGATCGCATTCGATCCGTCCCGGTAGCGATCGCAAGATAACGCGGGTAACGCGTTTCAGAAGGACGGAACAGCTTGCGATAGGGGACGCAGGCAGATTCGGCAAAGGTCGTAGGTAGATTCGAGCTGGGGACGCAAGTAGATTGTTTTGGGACAGAATGCAGACTGCCTAGATCGTACAGTTTTTCAGGGCGTTAATGAAGTTTTTCTAAGTCCCGACCCAGCCATTTTGGGAGGTAAAATACATGAACCTGCAGTCGGATATTTTGAAGATGCAAGTGGGCAACTTGCACAATTTGTCCACTTGTGTGCCACTTGCAAGCTAAGTGCGAGTTGTATGCAAGCTAAGCACGAGTTGGCGACAACTTGCAAGGCAAGTTGTAAGACCATTCACTTGATGACAACTAAGAAGGAGTTGGCGACAACTAAGCACGAGGTGGTGACAACTAAGTACGAGTTGTAAAGTGGAATGTTAAAGAGGTTTAAGTTTGCCTATAAATAGAGATGTAGTCTCATTTGTAAATGGTATGTAGTAGATGGTAGAGAATGTAGAGTGAAGTGAGTTTATTCTTTAGAGAGATTGTAAAATTTTTCCTTTCATTTATACAAAGAAAGTTTCCCCATTCTTACTTGTTTTCCATATATTACTTACTTCAAAATTCTCTTCTCAACGTGGGTATAATTTAGCCTCATTGGTTAAATTATTTGTGGGCGTGGAAAGGCTGACTTAACGTTTTCTCGTGAGGTGCGGGAATTATAGAACGTTAAGGCCGCACGGTTTTAGTTTGTTCGGGTGTAACGAAACTAGGTCCGTGACAACAAGCTCTTTAGCAATTCTATCGCAAATAAATCTCATTTCACCCTCATCAACAGTCGAATTTATATTTGAGTCTTCATCATCAGGCAAATAATCTTCTTTCTCATTGTATTTTTGAAATTTCAAATCAACTATAGCCTCCCTTCTTATAAAGTTATGCAGTGCCATTGAAGCCATAACAATAGCTACTTGCTTATCAAAATCATAATTTGGCATATGTTTTAATATTCTCCATCGCGATTTCCATACCCCAAAGCAACGTTCAATAACACTTTGTAGTGAGGAATGTGCATGATTAAAAACGTCTCGAGATCCTCTAGGTTGACTACCATGCCTAAAATCAGGAAGATGGTATCTTTCTCCCTTATATGGAGCTAAATAACCTTTCATATTTGGATAGCCCGCATCAACCAAGTAGTATTTATGTGCAAAATTTTCAATTCAAATATCAATAGGAGTAAAGACCTTATGATGTTACCAAATTATATAAAAATTGTTTATGAATAAAAATCACAAACCATCCAATGGTTTAGGAAATTTTAGATCAATGCTTCATAGAGCTTCCCAAAATATATGTGTATCATGTGTTGTTCCTTCCCACCTTGGCCACACAAAGGTGAATAGCATGTCAAAACTACACACGGCCATAATGTTTTGGGTAGGATATCCCTTTCTACCAATGTAGGGGATTTGCTCATTCGTTGGAAGTGATGCGTGAATATGCGTTCCATCAATTGCTCCAATACAATCCTATCAAAAGAAAATAAAATAAAAGAAATAAAGCAAAAATAATTAGAATAATGTTTTCAAACGAAATATGATATTTCAACATTTATTATCTAGATTACCTTAAAATAAGGCCAATACTTAGGATTTGATCTAATATAAAGGGGAACTTCATCATAATTATCAAGTGGTCTAATTTCTTGTAAAGCGGGATTAATCATTTTTTTCTAGTACAATCCCAAATTGTCTACTCATTGTTAACGTTGGAACCTTTCTTGAATCATCCTATTACCAACACCATGTCCCAATGTCATCAAAAACATACATACTGCCCCTTCTAATTGCACTCCTTTACTTGAACACAACCCATAACTTCTTAATCTGTCACATAATTTGCAAAATGCATGTTTCTCCATTCGAAACATCTCTTGACATCGCCTATCATTTCCATTAAGAATCTCCATAACAAACTTCATTCCTGTATGAGAGGAATCCCTACATGGTTCTTTTACCAAAAAAGTGTTATGATGTTGCACAATTGTAGCTGCAGTAGTAAGGACAAGCTCATTAAAATCTGTTTCATCTCTCATAACTTGATTTATGTATTCTTCATGTAGCTCTTCATCTAAATCGTCATTCATTCTATAATCATATAAACATTCATAAAATAATATAATTTCACAAAATAAATTCATCAAGTGAATGCCTTACAATAACATAAACTCTATATTACCTTCAAATAACACAAGTCTCACATAGATTACAAATAAGAAAAGTAGTAGATTTTGCCAAAATAAACGTGTCAACATATATTACTTTAACCCTAAGATAAATATTTCAAAGTTGGTATTGTTGATCCTTCAACCATTCAATTTGATATTTGAGTTCCTTTAAAGCTACAAAAATCTCTCTATTTGCTTTCTTTGTGAATAGGTCCAATCCAAGCTTGAAAAGAGGAGTCATTGGTTCGCAACCTGGAAGTGTAGCCAACTTATCCATAACCTCTTGAACACTACATCCAGGTGGATCGGTGCGTATATAGGAGCTCCTATTTTTAACAGCTTCACGAAGTTCTTGAAGTTGGTTGCATAGTTTTGTTGTTGTTGATTGCTTATTTTTTCCCTTCCTTAGTCGCTTCCTAGTTGGCTCAACCAATTTATCTTGGCGAATGCTATGCCCTATTTCCTCATTGTCACCATCGAAGTGTTCATTTTCAGCAGAATCATCATCTTCAGTAATAGTTGTATTTTGTGAATATAAAGGATGCATTACACCAGATGAATGTGCCCAAGCCCTTGCTCCGGTGGCTATGACATCGCGAACCAATTCATCTAATTTGAATGCATGATCTAAGCCCTGCACACGATATTTTGTAGCTTCCGGATATTTCTATTAAATAATTTAGAATCCTAGAAATATTATATAATTTGGTGTATTATACTTAAATAAAGAAAATTGAAACACTTAAAGTGTGTTTGATTGATATGGAAAATATCACCTAGAAAAGAAAATATTTTCCATCTTTTGTGAAAAATAAAAATCACCTCTACCTAAGGAAAATATTTTCCTTAAAAACAAGGAAAATTAGACATATTTTCAAAAGTTGGAAAATGTTTTCCAAGAAAAAAAATAGCAATCAAACACTTCAAATAAGAATTTGGATGGAAAACTGATATTTTCCATGGAAAATAAATGTAATCAAACACAATCTTAGTCGTAGTTTTGCAACCCACCATTCATTTGGAGCATCTATAGTTTGCCTTTCCATATCCCATCCAAGTCCAGTTTCTCCTCTTAACAATGCATCCCATAGCTGCCACTCTTTCTTTACTACATCCCAATGATTTTTTTAGTTGTTTCCTATCATAATCTCTATTTGTTGCTTTGTTAAAGTTCTCAGTAAAAAGTTTCCAACCCTCTTTGCTCAAGTGTGTTCCATTTCTGTTACCGGCCCTCACTTGTTCTACAGCTACATCAACCCAAATCTCATGTGTTCGTGCATCCCAAATTGCTTTTGATTTTCCCTTTATCCCCTCAGTTGCCATCTACATTTAAAAATGTTTTATTTACAGTTAATTGCTCCTCAATATTCTTGCTTTATAAATGGCGAATATACCAGAGATTCAATCAGAAAATCTAGAGAAACAGGGACATGAGTATATGCTGTTTTAATCAATGAAAGATATTGAATCAATCATGGCAAAAATATGATAACCATTCATTTCCTTTCTGACAGGTAAATGAATTATGTATTTAGAGTATAATCATAGTATACATTTTGTGTAACTTGTGGGATTAAAAATTCCTTATTTGGCCGATGCGGAAGTCTGTCTTTACTGATTTCAATTAAGATAATATATAAAAGTCAGAGTCATTTTTCTTAAAATGTTCAATTAAAAATTCCTTATCATAGCAAAAATAATCACACTCAGAAGTTTGTCTTTACTGATTTCATATTAAATCCATAGTTGCAATCATTTAAAAATGATTTTCCCAACTTCTGCTTTCTCACTTTATATGTAAATACACTGCACAAGCATTCATTCATTAAACAAAACCACTCAGCAGCACTCGGAAACAAGAAATTCGAAGAAAATGAAATGCCTATGGCAAAATGAAAATGTCATTGATAAAAGAAATTCCTACTTTAACATCAATTGGCCGCATGTAGATGAACAAGAATACCCAATCACAAACCCATCTTGGAAAACCAAAGGCACATTAAAAAACCCAGATAAATTCTCATTAAACCCGTCATTTCTTGAATAAAACCCAGAAAAGAAAAATAAAAAAGGCAATGATATGAATCTCTTGTAGTTAACCCATGTGTTGTAGATAAATAATGTTGTTGCAAAATAAAATGATAAGAAATTGAAGGTAAACTGCAAAATCTTACCAAGAGATGAGAGGAATTCCTGAAGACACAAACTGAAGAAAGGGATTGGAGAAGAATATGAAGAGTATTGAAAAGGTTGTGAATTCTTAGGACACGATTGGAATTTCATTTTGCTCTTTACAAATGTAAGGGTAATATTGAAATTTTAAATTTTCATTAAACCAGAAAATTGACTTCCTGTCTTTTTCTGGAGAGGAGTGGCTTCCTCTCCAATTAGAAAAAGTCATTTTATAAAATTAGTCAAACGGGTCCAAAAGCACTTTTGAACCACAAAAGCTCCTTTTGACTTCTGAAAAGCTATCCCAAACAGGCCCTTAAAGAATGTTGGGGGCAAAGAGAAGAATAATTCCGAAAAGGAAACATTTTTTTCTTAAATCATTACTCAATTTGAGTTACAATGTAGTTATTAATTATGACGTTTATTAAGAATAAAAAGGGAATGGTGATGGATGAAAGTTTTTGCATAGTGGAACACGTAAAATATGGTTTTCTGATTTAGGCTCGTCAATTTTATACTGGTACCGTGAGTGTTGTTTGATCTTGCTTGAATAATATTTAGTACAGGAATCAAAGTGGGAAGAACTATTTACGTGATTCAAGCATGTTTGCATAGTTTCAAAGAGGTTCACGACTTCACGATCACAGATTCAAATTAAAAAATCTCGGCAGAATATGTTAGAAAAGGGATTGGTAAGAGGAAGATGCAACAAAGTTGCAGGTCAGAACTTGTTATTCTGAACCGGAAAGGTTCAATTTGCCTTCTGATTTTGTCATAACCATTCCAAACGCAGGAATGATGATTATTTCATCTAGGTTGTTGAAATTAGGCAGGAATTGACGCTCTCTAGGTGGAAGGCCATTTCTGACTCCTGCAACGATAAAATAGACCAGGAGTCTACATACAAAACTATCATGCCAATTGGGCTGATAGTCCAAAGATCAAGGACAAAAATACCATCAGAACTACTATACCAATGGTCAACCAAAATTTGTAGTAGAATAAAACTTCTTATATCTAAAACATTTATCCATAGTCCAGATCTACAGTTGAGAATAACACCACAAAGCTATACCTACATATTTAAACAGGTGTAAGGAGTCTAATTGCATTCTACACCATGAAATTAAGTTATAACTTGTGGACTATAATCACAGTGGAACACTCATCTCACAGGCCAGATTTAAAAGTGAGTTGTATGCAATGTGGTGGTAACGATTTTTATTGAAATAGACCACCTTTCTGGAGAAGACTCTCGTTGCAGATGGGATGAGAAGTGGAGATGACTACTTGAGTAGAACATTGATTCCACGAAGTCACCTAGTGGAAGTATGGACTACTGTGGACATTTTTTTTAGGAGGAGAGGGGTATTCTAATGACACTATTAGAGTCCTGTTTGCATTGGTACGTTTAAGTCTTAGCTTGTGGATTTATAACCACTTGGACACTATACATAACAAGCCAGAATTTAAGAGTAAGTTCTACCTTAATGCTGTTGTAAAATTTAGAAGAATAATGTTATTTGTACATAAGCAGTTAAATAATGGTTTACATACAGTTGAGGATTTTTTTTTTTTCAGTTAAAAAAATTCTGATCCAATCATATTTCACTATATCATGTATGTGTAAACTTATTGTGTAGATGTAGCACAACCGAATTTAGAATATGAACAGACAAGCATCCAAAAATCAATCAATTTGACTGAACAATGAAACTCGAATGTTAAGTAGTAGTAATTCTTGGAGTCATAACATATAGTGACTAGTTAAAGAGTCATAACATACGGTAACTAATTAAAGTCTCATCAAATTTTTTCTAACCTCAATTGCTACAGGCAAAATCTCTTGTCCTTCAAAGTTGTCAAAGCTTGGAAAGTAAGAATGCAAGTTCCTCATCAGAAACCTTCACATCAATGCATACTCCAGTTGAGGCCGACAGTCTTGCAGCTAGTTGATGCTTACACTGAAAGGTCACACATAAACATATGAGCTACATAATAAGCATCGAAAGAATTAACTAAAATTATGGGAAATAATGGAAGCAGCAAGAAAATATTACACAAAGTTGTTCCCCTCTGTTCACAATGTCATAGAAGAATGAATAACATGAACAATAGTGTTCAGGGAAGCATAAATATTCCTCCTTCCTCCGGGATTCTCCCACAACCTGGAATATCAACATTTTTGCATTTAAAGAAGGAAGTAGAAATATGATCCAGCATTACTGACAATTACTCTAATCATCACTTTAACTCTATCTCTATTTTTCACACTCAGTCTCAACACTGAGTGAAGGGGATGGTTGCTCTATGCTGATAGGGAAAGTAAATTTCGTAAAATCATAAAACAAACCCTAATTGACAGAAAATAATTCACTTAGGGAGTGTTTGATAGCATGAAAATGGAAAAAAAAAGATGGAATTGAAATTGAAAATTCCAACTTTTGGTGTTTGATACCTTATATTTTCTATGGAATTGCATTTTTTGGATTTCTTGAAACTTGGAATTTTCCTTGTTTTAGTGAAATTTGAATTCCCACCATATATGGTGAGAATTCAAATTTCACCCTACTGTAGCGATTATTATTTTTTTCGGCTTTTTTTATTTTTTATTTTTTTGTAATAGAAATTAATTCTAAGAATTATTGTAAAAAAATATTTTCCTTTAATTGACAATTTTCATGTAAAACAAAGTCAAACGAACATTAAAAAACACTTTTATTTCAATATTTTCCACGTGAAAAATTATACCAATCAAACACAATAATTTACAATTCCCAGTAAAACAATTATAGGCAATTCAATTCCCTAAAATTCATTTTCTAGACAATTCAATTTGCAATCAAATGTATCCTTAGTCAATTCCAGCTCCAAATTAAAATAATGGCACGATTTTAAAGCTCGAAAAATCATCTCAAATGAATTCAGAAACAAGTGTCCAAACTTTGACAAACGACAAGCCCTAGAAATGATTGAATAAAGAGGGAAAGAAAAAGATAAAAAGAAGAAGAAACATAGTTTACCTGGAAAATAGAACGGCCACAGGGCTCGCCGGAAATCCTCTTGACACCCCTTTGATCAATTATCCGCGTTGCTCTCTCCAGATTCTTCCCAAAAAGAAAATGCAATCTGTAACATAAATCAACAATAATTTGTCACCCGTTTACTTACATATACACACTTAACTGGAAAGAAATAGAATATTTCTAAATTTTGAGGAAAAAACAAACCAAAAAAGTTGGAGATACTAACACTGAAAGCTGATCATCGGTCACTGGGGGAGTCCATTTCGTAATTTCCATCAAAACCGCGGGATTGTGTTAAAGTCAGATAATACAAACAGAAACATGGTGAAAAAATGAAAATTGAAAATGAAAGCGGATATGAAATTCGAAAGGAGCAATTGGAAATTAATCAAAACTAATGGACCTGAATTAGTAGACTCGATATCCTTCCATACTGATTCCGCTACCGAACTGCATTTGCTCATACTAAAAACCAAAACAAATCACCGGCGAGTTTGCTAGAATTTTATCGCGGAAAAAATGATGAAAAACTAAACGGTGAGGGCTCTTTCGAGTAAGTAAAAATTTTAATTATAAGTATTTATTGATTTATTTCTTTACAGTATAATTCTTCCAACTCTATAGATAAAGTGGGAAAAAAAACTATAGGAACTAATACATTTTGGAGATCCCATTTTATATTTCATAGGTTAGGTTTACTATTTCAAATATTAGATGTTTTGTTAATTAATTAATATATTTTAATTATTAATAATTATATTACAAAATTAAATATACATATTCAACATGAATCTTCCTACATGTACATCAAAATTTACATAATAGATTACATAATATCACGTGGCACTCTGCCATTTGCCAATTTAAAATATGATCGACTTTTTCATCAAATCTTTTCCCTTCACGTCATATTATGTAATCCATTATGTATATTTTTTATGTACAAGTAGTAAAAGCCTATTCATCCTACACAACCACACATACCAAAACCATAATCATGTTCATCCTCTGCATTCTCTCTTCTTTCTCCATCCCAACTTCTCTCTTCTCACAAGTTGGCCATCGACGCCGCCACCACTCTCGTTAGCGCCATCACACCGTTGGCACCACCTCACCAACATCATGCTCAACCACCTTACCACAACCCATAAAATTTTCAGATCAGCTGTTGCAACAGCAATCTCTGCCTTCATCGCTGCATATCTCTAGGTGACGCTACAAATCTCACACTGCTTTATTTCACCCAATCCGACAACTACTCATCCCAGCAGATCTTTTTGCTTTCTTTCTTTCTTCCTTTTTTTTTAAAATTTATTTTTGAGTGGTGTGATGATTGATGCTTCAGTGGTAGAGGTGTGCGATGCGGTGATGGGAATGGAGATCTCTAGTGGGTGTGACGGTGATGAGCTACTATTGTGCAATGGATGTAGTATTGGGCGAGTGATGTGGTGCTATGTGCGGTGTTGGTATGGGGCGGTGGATGTACAGGTGGAGGTTTGTGGTGTGGTGGTGGAAATGAAGAGCTCTAGTGAGTGCAAAGATGGTGTGCTGTGGGTACGTTTGTGATGGTGTAGGTGTGGTCGTTGGGTGTGTGCAATAGATGGTGTGGTACTCTGTGCGATGGTGTTGGTGTTGGTGGCATGGTTGTGGATTTAGCGTGATGATGTGGTGGTATTTTCTACGATGGGTTGATTTGTTTGAATTGGTGGTGTTGCTTCGGTAGGGGGTGGTGCTGCTGCTGCTGCTGATGTAGGCAATGATGAAATGGTGGTTACAAATTATTTGGTTAACTGTGACCAATAAACAATATGTGACTAATGAAAAAGATAAATTGTGATTAAAAAAATAATATGCGACCTTAAAAATTGTTAATTTATGATCGATAATTTGTGACTTATAATTTTTGTAATTTGTCAATGATAAATTAATTCTGACCGATGAACAAATTGTGACTTATAAAATTCTTGAATTGTGATCGTAAAATAATTTGTAATTTATAAAAATTCTGATTTGTGATAAAAAAAAAATAATATATGACTAACTAAATCATTTGTTTATGAGCAAATTGTATAAATATGTGACCTTTATATATTTAATTAATAAAATATACAAATGATTAATTGGATCATAAATAAATTTTAATAAATAGCTGATTTTTAAAATTTAAAACATTTGTTCTTAATTTTAAAATGGGCGATACTTAACATCATAGTTATGAATTTTTCCAATAAATAAATACAATCATTTCAAACCCTCTAGACTTATTTTTTATGTAATAAAATAATACAATCGTGTACTAAAATTAACAAAAAATATCACATTAATCCAAACTTTATAACTTTAATCGAAGAATACATGGCTTTTAAGTGCGACTAGAAACATCTACGTCAAGCAAGGAATTCTTCCAAATCGCTGGTAAAGTTTGAGAGACCACAATTGATTCATACACGTGAAGAGAGTGAAATTATGAAGAAGATAAAATATATTTAAAAATAGATTTTCATTCAAAGATGAAATTTTATTGAAACGGTTCACATCTAGTTAATACTTCGGAACCAGCCAAACAAGTTGGTCCAGATATATGTTTTATAGCATTTGATATACGTTTATTCGAAGATTGACCTGTATTTGTTATGTTGAGTTCATAGTCGGGAAATAAATATGACCGAATAGACAGAAGTGAAGGAATGGAGAAAAAAGAATAAGAATAAACTAAAAATGGAATATTTAGATTGATCAGTTGTCCTTGTAAAATGGTAGCCAAGATTGGTGTCTTGAGGCAAATATAGAAGAAAGAAACATGCTCTGCAAATGCTATGGCTGGTCTATGATCTTAAGCATAAACGAGTGCAAAACTCAACTTAAAAAATACGTATCAGTACAAATGCGATCTGCTAACTCAACTCCAATAAAAACTAACATGCAAAGAACAAAAAAATTGTTTATTTTCTGTAAAAACCTACATGAAAAACCTTGCCTTTTCATCGCAGCATCAAACAGCAACTATAATTTTATTTACGCGGAAACCTGTATACAAGATTACCGATTTTCAAGTTTCCACATTCTATTTAGGATACCGCCAATATATGCCGAGACTCCTCATTGGGGAAAATCTTGTCAACTGGATTTTCCTCGATTTCATCTGAATTATAGGAGAAGATGTCAACAGGGGCGCTGGTAATGCCAACAGACCCTTGATCGTGTTTAGGGCTTTTACGATGATCATGGTCAAGATAGATCACAATCACAGTAATATCATCATGGAAATGGCGCCTACCTCCCTTTTCGATCTTTCTAATGTCCTTGTATCTCACCTCCCTCTTCTTTGCTGCCTCGTGAATGGCAGCTCCGACTAATCTCTTGGCTATACCCTGTAGAAAATTCAGCACAAAGAACAAGCAAGTCAAGCTAGAAAACTTTCAAGGGATGACCAGCCAAAAGCTAAACCAGATTAACAAAGGCTATATCACATTCAGTAGAACTTGATGCTTTGCCATTGCTTTTTAACTAATCCAGAACACAAATTTTCATTCTTGCGCCCGCGTTTTTAACAAAAAATGAATCATAATCATGAAAGCAAACGCATTTAGATGCAACTGAAAATAATAAGAGCCTTGCAATCCTAATCCCGAGGTCTTCATATAAGAACAGGCTGAACAGCTAATAAAGTAAATGTCACAACTGAGCCTCTGTTAGGGAAGAATTTATAAAAGGTTTAATTTCATAAATAAATAGAAATGAGTGGTGGATGAGCAGATATTACGTGTGGATCCATTGAAATGTGTGGTCGAAAATGAAGAATGTTTATAAATGATTTATAAATTTCGCCACATGAAGGCAAAATATATGGTCAAAGCAAGAAGAAAAGCATCCAGGTGTTAATGTCTCTATACTGAAATTATCTATATAAAAGTAGCGGGAACTCAAACTTACAGCTCTTGGGTATTTATATACAATATCCACAGCAGCTTCATCACTGAGATGTTCCCAGAGGCCATCTGAGGCAAAGATTAAGAACAAATCTTGTGGCCTGAGCTTCCGAGTTACAATTGAGGGTTCAGCTGTTAATAGTGGTCTCTTCAAAGGAACAGGATTTCCGAATTGTAAGAAAAGGGGGTCTCTGTTGAAGTCGGGTTTTTTCAGATAGACATCGCCAATAGATCTTGATACCTGGAAATTATAAACTTACAATTTAGCATCTTAAATGAGATTTTGACTGGACATAGATAAACAAAAAGAGATGATAACAAAGAAACAGTTAAATAACAGATACACACTCCATTCTACCGACACCATGCTTGCCTCTAAATCTAAACAAACTAGATCCTAAAAGTTGTATGAGCATCATGAAAATTATAGCCATATGGACAAAAACGGAGGCAGATGACTAAAATTTCACCAGAATCACAACACTTTGCCTTACGAGATCTTCAAGGACATCTCATGTGCAGAAAGCTTCATGAGAAAATGGGAAGAGAGGCAGAGCATGTGATCCTGGATGTGCAGAGATGATATAGCCCATCAGAAAACTAATATACGTGAATGAAGTAACATAACTGATTGAAATTGTGTAAAGAATAACAGATAATCACCTTTCATAGAAAAACAGAACGAAATGTGTAAAAAAAGAAATAAATAATTTTTCAAAATTTACCAAGCAGGCAAATAATCTAAGTAACATATGCAGTAATTTCCACATAACAAGACACAACTAACTACTCATACGTAAGAAGAAAGCTCACAATGTGTGACATGACACGTAACAATACCAGAAACATATTGGTGCTAGCATCTTTAGTACAACAGGGGCATGCCATTTATACTTTGGAACAATCAAAATTAGAAATGTATTAAAGAAGATTAAAGCTACAATGAGGTCGCCTCCCATGGTAAGAGATACAGGTCACCCTTTCAAAACCTTCATCCAAAGCATATAAAAAAGATCTGAATTTGATCTGATGGTTGATGGAAAAGCTCTCTTCATAGCTTATTAACAAAGATTGGGCTTAAACAGTATACTGAGCGAAGTCAGAAATCAATCAGGAGCCTCAGCCATTCAAAGTCACTGACCTAGATTCCAGGATCGGTTCGAACTGAATCCAAATCCCACAAATGACAATCCATTGTGTATTTTTAAATGCTGATTGCACTAGTGTATATATGGACAAATTAGTTAGCAGTAGCCAAATCAGAAGAATGAAAATAATCACCTGAATTATGCCCTTGATTCTCCAAACTCCACGACAATTGATAACTATAAGTGAATCATCAGGATGTTGAGCTTCGACCTCCCTCCTTACCTTTTCGCATGACACATTATGATCTGTTGACAATCGCTCTGCCACCACCGAATTCCTCTTCCCATCAGAGCATTTGCTGCCAAGCACTGCTCTTGAGTCTCCTAAATTTGCAACATACAGTTCACCATCTGAAATTGCACCGACTAGACAACATGATCCGACTGAAACAATCTGTGGTCTGATAGGCAATGATCGCTTCACCAGTCGAGTAAAATCCTCTTCTATAGCATTAAATGCCTTCTTTATTACATCCACGGATAGCCCTCCATGTTCTTTGGTAAATTCTGAAAATATTCAAACACATTTCAGATATAGAAAGCAACATATAAGGATTTGCATAGTTTATTAAAGTATAAGTCAAAACTCAATCACTTCCAATTTATACATTGAAGCTATACAATTCATTGAACAGTTACTCAATTATCTATTTTCTTCAATCAATAAAAAATGTGTCGTAGAAACAAATATTAAATTTCCAGTAGAAAAATGAGAAGAAGACACAAAACTATGAAAAGTTTTATGATTAAAAACTAAAACTCCTTTTCGAAATTTCCTTATGAAGTTCCACAATCCATACCTTTGAGAAGCAAAAAAACTATTTAACTAAAAAGAGTCACATGTACACATCGATCCATAATCTTCACACTCACAATTCATGTAACACAAAAAATAAATAAATAAAATTACAATCGCATTTCCAGATACACAGCATCAATACATACATATAGAGAAAAATAATAAAGGATTATTCAAACACATAAATAAAGAGAAAACCCCAGAAAAAACAGAGCAACAGAGAATTGTGTATAGCAATATTACTGTGTAAATAAGGGAAGAGGTGTCGATTAACAAAACGGGAGGCTTCAGGGCCTCCGTGTCCATCGTAGACGCCGATGTAAATTGCTGATGGCGAAGTGTAGACTTGGCTCTGGTCTTCGAGGCTAGAATTAGCCTGCATAACAGCTATAGAAAAATCTCCAGACGGGTGGGGCTTCAAATCCATGTGCCATAACAACCCATCATTTCGAATTCCTAAGCATCTCTCCAATGGTCTAAAACAGATCGATCTCAGCATCTTCTATATCGCAATTCCTTTTTTTTTTTTAGGCAATTTCAGATTTTTAAGTATAATTTTATGGAATTTTGTCTGTGGATGTATGATGTTTATACAGTTCTGTAAGAATCGTGCGGGTGGAGGTGAATTCTGGGGGTTTTATGGAAGACTACGGGGTAAGAAAGTGGAATACCGCGTGAGAAAGAAGTGTGAAAGGTGAAGAAACACGAGACCACTTGCAGTCCGCGTTTTAGGCTTTTGTTTTGTAGGTTGGAAAAATAGTTAATTTTAATTAATTTATTTTGAAGACCGAATCAAATCATTCGACACTCTCGTGAAACGCATTTATTAAAGTAATAAAAAGTTTTGTTAGACTGGTCCTCAATTATTGTTCTTACCATTTAACGGTTAGAACTCATTTGATATAACAGTTGCTTTTATTTTTTGTAGACCTTAGTTTTGTTTGAAAATTAATTTTCAAAAGAGATTCATATTTCAGAATTGTTTTAAGAATATATTATATTGAACAAACATTTTTTAAAAACTCTTCAACTAGAAAAAGCACTTTCATATATTTACTAAGCAAATTCAAAAATAACTTTTGAATCTTAAAAGTTGATTTTGACTTTTTGAAAAACTTGTCAAATGGACCCTTAAGGGCTGTTTGGACCCGATTTTTTCATTCAAAAAATTGATTTTTTGACTATTATTTCACTATTCCAGCCATCATATTTGACTTCTTCTCTCACAGGTGGACCCCACTTTTCTCCTAACGATCAAAAAATCAATTCTCAAAATCACTCCCAAACAACCTCTTAATCAAATTGAACAGTACACAAAATTTACGATGATCTATAACCTAGAAAATTGATTCTAGATTGATCGTCAATTTCAATTATTTACATTTAGTGGTCACATTCTTTAAAAATATAATTTTTAGCTAATTCAAATAGGGGTTTAACCTTCATTTGTAGGCTTAAGTCGATTTATTTTACATTTTCTAATCAAAAAGTGGATTTTAGAGCCCTTGATTTTAACTCGTGATAGTTAACTGATATAGAATTTTTGTGTATTTCATACTTAGCCTTTGTTTGAGCCACATTATTATAAAAATGAGAATAAAAAATATAGCTGTTATGACCCCACATAAAAAATAAAAAGTTAAATATGATGGCTTGATGTGATGGATAACGGTCATATTTTTCATTTTAATGAAAAAATAATAGAGCTCAAACATGGCCTTATTTGCACTATTCATCTGATTTTTATGCAAACTTTGTCGAAATAATCATTTATCCTCAAACTTAAATGATATGCAATAAATCCTTATTTGTAATTTGTTTTGCACAATAATAAGAAACATATTATTAAAAAATAAATAATAATAATAATAATAATAATAATAATAATAATAATAATAATAATAGATGTTATTCAAAAGTTAGATCGGACCCTATTTTTAAGTTTCTTAGAAAGATAAGGCCGCCATGGATTTTTCTTTTCTTTTTCTTCTAACCTTCTAAACACGTTATGGAAAGTTAATTGATTAAAGTTTATTGCAATATTTTATTATTGACTTGGACCAAAAGGCAGTGCAATAATTCTTTTTTTTTTTTTTTAAGGTATTGATTGGTAGAAAAAAAGTTAAAATATTAGGTGGTCGCTGACTATGTGAAATGCGTTAGAGTTTGAAGGAATACACTTTTTTACCACAATAAGATTGTGACTTGACTAAATGTCATTTTAATAAATTGCATATATTTTCCTTGAGAATGAGTGGCATTTTGTTTTATTGCATAAAATTCAAAACTATAGCCAATTTCAATCTAGTCGGTAGCGACCGTTTGGCATTGAAGCACAAGTAGGAAGGAGGAGGTATTTGGTACCGTATATAACACGCCAACCTTTTCCATCCACAATAATTTGGAGACTTATGTGGCAAAAAGCCGACATTGAGGTGCTAACACATTCTCATTGAAAGTGAACTCTTTATGAACATTAGCTGTTATTGCTAAAGACACTTTTATACGTTGAACAACAAATGGCCTTTTGAAAAGTCTATTCTTAGTTCATACAGATCTGCATCAAGTTGGATTGAATGCCATGCAATAAGTTGAATTTTACATTAAGGGACATTTTTAGCACGTTAAATTTGATTGGTTTAAGGAGAATAAAGTTGATTGAATTGACCGTAATTCAAAAATAGAGGTAGGTTGTTGTTTTATTTAATTTTCGTCAACATGCCTAGTACTATGCAGAATTATAGTCCAATCCACCATCACTTATAATTTTGAGTAGTCGGTCAATGACACCGAACTTAAGGAGCAATTTGGACGCAAATAAGTATTTCGGTTGTTGACTAGTTAAGGTGACCGTAGCTATAAGGCGTAGGACACTATGAGAATCACGTGCCACCGTGGGATTAGAGTGTTGGAATTTCAAAATCTTATTTTCTATTTATTTTTAATTTTAACTAACAACAAAGTTATTTATTTTAAAATTTACTTCATTTATTTAAATGGAAAATTTTAAAGCTCAAGCATAGTCATATGTGAGTCTCATTACATACCTTATTCATTATTTGACTATCAAAATATGATGGTCCTATAATAAATTGAAGAAATATTTCATTATGAATATCATACATGCACAAGTGTAAGATCGATCATTTAAATTAGGAACCATTCAAATAATTACACCTCTGCATATGAAATAAAATGGACATCATATGCCTAAATGGTTAGATTCCAAGTGTCATGATTAAATGGACGATTTTACTACGTATGCATATAATACTGTCTTATCAAAAACTTTCTTTATATATTGACTCCGAATCCAAATAACCTTGTTTCAAACACCTCGCCCAGGATGATCACTTGTCTCCGTATACTCAGTTTGAACAATTAAAAAAAAAAAAATCCTAGTACCTAGTGATGTACAAATAAAATTTTATTATTTTCTTTAACATAGTATTATCTGGTCTGCTTGCCTAGTGATGTACAGATAAACTCGCGTGTTTTTACTCTGGTATGCATTTATGTACCTGTTACTTTGTTGGTAGGGTTCGACAACATAAACATGGACTTCATTTTGTTAAGATTGAAATATTAGTATTTTATCTTCGTATGGTGTTTGGAAGAATATTGAGGTTATTTCTTTAAATTCGAGGTGGGGTAGAGTTTCGGAAGATGAATTCGATATGAACAATTCCAATAAGATATTATATTTAAAATAAAATTATTTTTTGATTTATTTCATCTATTCATAATTGAAATAAGTGTGGATACATGTTACACCACACATTTAAAATGGTTACTTTTATCAACAAAAACCAAGCTCGAACCCAAACGCAATGACCTAGAAAAGCTTCACTCTTACCACTTGTGCTAAGTTGTTACCTTATTAAAATTGAATTATTAAATTTATACTTTTAATTCAATCCAGACCAGCAAATGTATTAGTTTGATTAATAAACAAATGACGTAACTTGCATAGATCGATTATTATTTTCTTTAATATGGTGTGCTCTGTGTTTTTCGGTGTGTGTTCCATTGTCGGTAGTGTAGGCATTTATAGACGTTGGTATATCACGTCTATTCTTTTAATACTGTACAATTTTGCAGGTGTGTAATTTACATTTAAAGAAAAAATCATTGACACTGTGCATCTTTACAGGTGTGTAAAAGAATTATATGTTACTTTATATCTATATAAAAATAATAAAAATTATTTTGAAAATTTCATCTTCAAGCTCCACCTTTTTTACTTTCTTTGTTGATAATTGTCTTTTTGAGTACTATTAATCTGTCTTTTGCTTTTTCTTTACGTCTTTTCTTCTTAATCAATTATTGCACTTATATGTATATCAAATCAATGTAGGTTTCTTCTAAGTCGACATCTGTTTCATTAGTTTTGCCTTCGAATATGTACTCTTCTTCCTCCGTATCTGATTGTCTTTCTGATAATTCATCATTTATTTTTTGGAAAGTCATCGAATATAGCTCTTTGGTACTGGATTTTTTTCTATTTTAACAAGATGCTCTTGATAGAAAATAACTCTATTCCATTGTGCTACAAGTCTAGAATTATTATTTTGAACATCTATCATTGTCACGATTTCTGAGATTCACTTTTTGTAATCAATCTGTCTAATTTATTTTAGTATTTGTCTTCACAGAAGGTCTAAATCTTTTGGCTCCTTCATACATTAGAATATGATGATAAGTTGGAATTACTATATCGTTATTTACAAGAAGTGG